TTGATACTTGCACGCCACAGTCACTTATCATAAATTACCTATTCCTCTAATTAGCGTGAACTGCGCTGCAATTACCTACATCCCGTTGTCGTAATTACGTTTTGGAAAAGAGCACCGCAGCAGGCTGGCCGCGATTTTTCCAAAAGAAGTGCGAAGGCAATAAATCTGAAAATATATTCATAAACGCACCAAGTAAGACTCGAGGGGCAATAAAGGGCTTGTCGAAATTGTCGCGATAATGGTTTAAGTCCAGCGGAAGTGAAACTTTCGCGGCCGGTGGGAAATTACATGTGTCAAACTTGATAAAGTATCTAGGGGGTCGAACGTGACCCGACGTCTCAAGATTTGTTACCTAGAAGGCCCTTTGAAATGTATCAGGCGATAATTGTCCAAGTGGCTTGTATTTCCCCCAATTAATAATCTTATAATTCTATTGTGTTCACAACTAATTAATACAATTTCTAGAAACCGCCTTGGAATATGGATTTAAGAGTCAAAAGCATACATTTTTGTTCTTATCTTTCAACCCGTGTTCAAGCATTCCTTTGTACAACCAAAGAAATAAAAAGAATTGTTTTAATTCGGCTGCAAACATAAGTTTAAATGCCCTGAATAAATAGGTCAATTTGAAAGCAATATCTGCACTTTAAAGAACTTACGCCGCAACGCAATAAGCTCACATGGACGAATTCAACAGTGAAAGAAATAAACTGAAAATGATTTTCAGTAATAGCAGTAGATTTTTCACTCTACTGCATTTTGTATTACAAACTACACAAATTGTCTTCAAGACTGCGATAGAGAAGATGAGCTCACGTATTTCCAATATGTCAAACAAAGAATCGAAGCGAAGTCTAGATGATGACACACAGGTCGTAGCAGCAATTTTTCCTTTTAAGTAAATGTTAATAAAAATGGAGAATTCTAAATGGAAATCATTGCTATATAGAATTATAAACAAATGACGCACAGGCAACGCATCATTTTAAAAGAACCGTGAGTTTCTGTAAATATGCCTCCCTTTTTAGCGTAACACAACGAAGTTGAGGTAAAGCTTATGTGCTCGTGTTTCCGTCCGTCCGTCCGTCCGTCCGTCCGTCCGTCCGTCCGTCCGTTCCATCGAGATCTCGGCCCCTGGGCCACCTAGAGACTTCGGGTTTTCGCTAATTGATAGCTGTTATGGTTTATATTTGCCCAATTCGATCAGTTTCATTTAACTCCATATTTTGCGCAGACTGCGCAATGCCAACTTTCATATTTATGGGGATATTTCTTTGAAATTTTAACCACAGACGCTTCTAGTAAAGTTAACATTTCGCGCATAGTAAAAATTATGTGGGCATGCGCAGTGACTGCGCAATGCCAACTTTCTTATTTATGGAGATATTGCTTTGAAATTTTAACCACAGACGCTTCTAGTAAATGCAAACATTTCGCACATAGTAAAAATAATGTGTGGGCATGCGCAGTGATGTGTGGGCATACTGCGCAATGCCAAATTTCTTATTTATGGAGATATTTCTTTGAAATTTTAACCACAGGCGCTTCTAGTAAAGGTAAACATTTTGCACATAGTAAACATTATGTGGGTATGCGCAGTGACTGCGCAATGCCGACTTTCTTATTTGTGGAGATATTGCTTTGAAATTTTAACCACAGACGCTTCTAGTAAAGATAAACATTTCGCGCATAGTAAAAATTATGTGGGCATACGCAGTGACTGCACAGGCTGCTCATAGCCAACTTTCTTATGTATGGTAATATTTCTTTGAAACTTTATTTTACTTATTTAACTCCTCTCTTTCTCTGAACGTGGACGTGCTTCAATATGCAGATTCGACATTTTGTGTGCTTTTGGTAACGATGCGTCGTTTCAATACTTTGTGTTACGCGGCAATACCCACGAGTGGGTTTTGGAACATTTTTTCAATATAAATTCCACCGTTTCAGTAGTCTTGTATCTTTGTAATTCACTGAATACAAAACCCTAAGAAATTGTAGTAAGTTAGTTCCTTTATTAATTTCACAATGTTTTACCACCACACCCAATTACCTTTAGGGAGACGAAGAACTACACGTTTTGTACTGAATTGTGTTACAACTTTCACGGATGGTACGTAAATGTAAATATCAAGGTAAATATGAACACGAATGCGGAATTTTAAATTTAGGGCTTATAAACCAAAGTTCTTGATCACGATTTGTGCTTTGAGAAGACAAGCAATGTTTCTAGAACGCTTCTCGACGCATTCCTGGATGAATTGCGGTGTTTGACACCCGTGTCCGTTAAGTTATATAGCGGAATTCACAGAAAAATCACTTTTTTAGATTCCAGATTGCAGTTACGCCCCCTAGCGGCCATTGCAGAAACTTAAAAATATTTTTCAGGTTTTTCTCGTGGCCGTTTTAGTAATAAATTGGTTTACCGCAAGCCTCTACGATGGACAGGTTCCCAGATACAGTACCTCGCATTCTTATTTGGCCACCCTGTACAGTGTGGTCCAATTTCGATGGGATTATGTAAATGGGTAACTTTCTTATTAGCGCAAATAAACGAAAATGGTTTAAGTACTCGGTACCTCTTTTTTCATGCTTATTCCATTACCGTTGTCAGATCAAACTGCCGTTCTTTTGTTTTTTCACTAGAAACAAAACCGGAAAAATGGCCGATTTCTTCAATTTGCTGTATCTCCTTTATTTTGGAAGCTAGCACTAAATGACTTTAGCACTACTGTGTTGTGACTGAAAGTTGATTTTTTAATGGAAGTTACAGTATACCATGCTTTTAAAAGATTTTACGAGCTTTTCAATAATAAGTGTTCTACAATAAATTTTACCCAAAATCGTCATGAAACCTTCATTTTCATGCCTACTTTATGTCAGGAAAATGTTAGTTTCCATGACGGAGGCAGACCAGTCTACTTTTCCTGCCGCCTGTCACTTTACCGGCTCCGCCTGTCACTTTACCGGCCGCACTTGTCACGTTTCCTGCCGCACCTATCACATTGCTAAATCTCTATAATGACTCCTGCCATCATTGACAGATTGGCATTAATCAAAAGTTCCATATGAAAATTGAAATTTTATGATAAAGTACGATTTCGGGTAAAATTTAATATACAAAACTCGTAAGTAAAATGACATTACTTGACACGGAAAGGAAAGTACTCGGCCCCAAAGGGGCCTCTTCAATATTTCCTCGCCAGTAGTGTGTCATTTTCCTGACTTTTATGTAAATAACTATTGTTTACTAATGGGTACGTCTTGTCTGAAAGTAAATAACAAAAGACTATAATTTCCATGTAAAAAATCAACTTTAAGTTGCAGGGCAGTTACTGTATTCCGTATTTCGTTATTACAAGTTAAAAGTTAGAAACAAATTGCTGTACAAAATTTATTTGTTGTGTAGGTATTTTGGCTAAATGCACATAATACACAGTACGTCGGTAAACGATCTAAATCTGGGGGTAGGTACCTTGTTCAATGTTCAAATTCGCAAAGGGAAAATTGTTTTACAAAGAATTCTCTTTAGAATACTTCTTGCGATATTGACCTTTTTGTAAAGCGTAAATAGCATGTTAGCAATATCCTTCGATCTTTCTCTAACCTTCAGGGAGAAATCATGTGTGTAAATTGTGCGTTGACTTCATTTCTCTTACTACCCATTCAAATATAATCAAATTACCCCAACAAGGCACTTCAAAATTTAACAATTTTTGGGCGATAATTTGCAGGATCATCTACATTTACATTTAAATAATTACCAATCAATCTATTCTACTACCAATAAGTTACGCATAAAGTTCAGCGTGCCAAAAGCAATTAAGCATGCAATAAATGTTGTAGACAATAAAACGTCTAATCGCTTTTCTTGCATTTGAGAGTCCAGATACGTTTTCCCTGTGGCGAACATCGCAATAAGCCTTTTCTCTTAAAAAAGAAAATTGATTTTCGATTAGGAATTAAATACAGCCTGAATTCTAAATTAAATTTAAAGTAATTTCAGATTGTTCATGGAGATTTTTTGTTGACCGCCATACCGATCGTGATGTCACCTTCCTTCTTTTGATATTAAGCCTCTACAATAAGACAAGAAATAGAGGAGCATTTCTATTCCTTAGGTAATAAAAATAACAGTTAATCCGCCCAAACAGTAATGTACTGTGTTTTATTCCTTGTTTCACCGTCTAAATTTCTTTGGTAGGTTGTAATTAGGCAGGATTTGATTTAGTTCCTTTCGTGCACTTTTATCTTTTCTGAAAGTCTATTCCATAATAGATAGGTGGAGAGAGATATTTTGTTTAAATAATTTTCCAAAATTAAGAGGGCTGTTAAGGTCGTATGGTAGTAAAGGTTCAGTATCCGTATTAAAGCAGGAACAAACACGCTACCCTTAATTTATCTTGCTCTTATCAAATTCTGGTTAGAATAGGTAAGCCCCATAAATTTGTGCAATTCTGGGATCTTCCAGTTGTTCGAAGTCCAATCCATCTTGAATAAAGGGTTCTTCTAGCAATCTGATAGAAGTATATTTTTATATTTAATCTTTAGATGTCATTAGTCACTTATGATGTATCTGCGATAAGGTGAATACCCATCAATCACTTCTGTTTGCGCCTGAAGGGTTCAGGGTAATGAACCGATAACATCGCAGGAGTACAGGAGTACGGGACTATAGCGTTTTAAGTGTGCCCAGATACCAAATGTCCACGGCCTCCACATTTTGTATATAACTTTTGCCATGTTCTTCTATGCCCTTTTCAGGAACCACATGAGCTACGTTGTCTACCTATAATGGGAAATTGCGCTCAGAATCAAAATTGCTACAGCATTCATTTTCCTATCTTCTCCTGTTATCTACTTCCATTTGTAAAGGTGCCCTGAAAACGAGATTCTAAAGCAAAGAATTTGGAAACCTCAAACTCCTTGGTCAAGTAAATTTTAGAACGCCTCCGTGGAAGTACCGAAATCGTAGTTTAGCAAAAAGAATGCAGACGAAATAAAAATAAATGTATATTTTGCTATATCAGTACAAAAATTGACTATGTTGGTATCTCGTTGGGCACCCACACGAACGGGGGTGTTTTCGAGAAATGATCCCACGTTGAAATTTCATCGAGTAATCGTTGGCCGGGGCACTCGGTTCCTTGTCGCACCTGTTGGTGCCCGTACAGTTTGTAGTCAGGCCGTATCTTTCCCGTTTGCACACCGCATTCGATTAATTTACGCGCTGTCTGAATCTGATTTGGTGGCGGCAGCTCGACTGGAAGAGTACGTTAGCAATTTTTACTACGGTTCACTGGTTCTTACCTCTCCAATCGCCGATTAAGGATATGCCGATGCTTTGGTTGTTGTAACTGGGTGAGTGTGCTCCAACGACCGACCAACCGCGACCGGTGTATGCTTTGCCATCACCCCCGACAACGAAATTGTACCCGATATCTTCCCACTTTTGATCAATCTATGCAGACGACTTATAGCAAAAACCTTGTGAAAGGCGGTTTACCTGGTGAGAGTCCTGCATCGATTGCATCGCCTTTATGCAGTCTTCGGTTGACGAACAAGCCGGTGGCTGGTAGGTGTGGTGGATGATAACGTACGGCACCGGATCCTGCATGCTCTGCACGTCCGTCGGAGGTCGCGCGCCCCATTCCTCTCTCGTCACCAGCACAAAATCGCACATTTCGCTTCGACAGAGGACGCCTAAACCGAAAAAATAGATTAGCCACTTTTTCATAGTGAGAACCATTCGACGTTTATCAACCTTATGATGACAACATCGCGTTATCTGCTATTGTGTGTTTTATTAATTACCCGCTCACACTTGACATTCGCTCTTGAGATTTTATGAATGAACTTGAAAAGTGGCGGGGAATAAACTGGCCCACCAGATTTTTAGTGCATATCGATGACGTCGAACGCGCTTGGTGATTTCCCTCTTTCTGTGATCATGTATCGTTTCGGTTTTTTACAGGAACCCCCTCGCGAATTTCTCATATTACTTATTCATGAGGAGTTATACTACTGTATCCAAAAAATACCCGGAATTGTGTTATAAAAGTTCTTTCCCTCCGAGGCAATGCACTTACGCCAGCGTTTTTTCCAGTCCTGAAGCAACCCAAATAGTCATTTTCCGATATGGCCTTTAAGGCTTTAACACAAATTCTTCGATTTCGCTTTTATCTCCTCAATTGACGCAAAACGATCTCCCCGGACCGATCTTTTGAGCTTAGCTAATAGCCAGAAGTCACACAGGGTAAATCAGCCGAATGCGGTGGTTGTGGAACAATATGCAGTGTGAGTTGTTGGTATCTTGAGGCGTATAGCTTCACGCAAACGAAGCATAGTATTCCTTATTGATAGTTTGAAGAAATTCATAATGCACTATACCACGATCATCGAAAAAAACTGTCAACATCACCTTCACTTTTGCGTTTTGAGCGACTTTAGCGCGATTTTTTTGGTTTTGCCTCGCATTTAGCACGTTATTCGCTCGATTGATCGGTTGTTTCCGGGTCGTAAGCATAAATCCAAGTACCATCGCCCGTAATAATGCGTTTCAGTGCTTGTCTTGATAGTCAGAAAGCATTCTTTCACACACATCAACGCGGCGCCCTTTTTCTTAAAATTCAGTGTTTTTGGCACTGAGATTTGGCGCCTATACGGCCCAAAACATCCTTCAAAATTTAATTGATTGATCCTTTTGATATTTCAATATCATCAACAAGATCTCTTATTGGTAATCGACTATTTGCAAATACCAATTTCGTGATTTTATTGCCGTGTTGATTTGCTCATCAGTTGATGTGGATAGTCGCCTGGGACGCTGTTCGACTTCAACGCGTTGTATGTCCCCTTTGAACATTTGGTACCAAATAAATGTTGTTTGCTTTTGATAGAGCTGGATCCATGTAAGCCTTCTGCAACATTCTCAACGTTTTCACAGCGATTATTCCATTCAGAAAACAAAATTTAATCGCAGTTCGTTGTTGAATAATTTGAATTTTACCTTTTATTATATCTGAATCACAATCTCCGTTTTAAACACTCAAATGTGTGCGAAAAAAGGCCTTTAAAACACACGTGCTTTAAAGTTGCTAAGTAACGATACTTCAAGTATGACTTTTGAAACTGTCTGTCTGTTACACTTTTTAATCGCAGCATTGTTTGAAGTTTTGAATGAATGCACCAAAAGATAGAAGATTTAAATGCCTTTGACATTTCCTTCATATATGCCAGCATTATCGATGCATTTAAGACTTTATTCGTAAGTAACTTCCTATTCATTAATGGAAACAACTTTTCATATTCTTTATAATAGGTTTTACTGGATTTGAATTTTACACCTACCAACGTTTGTTTAGATTATCAATAAGCGATTTAATGGTCGGTTTATAAGCAAACTTTAAGTGACATTTCCATGACAGTAGTGAAATTACGAACACCCCGCCCACTTAATTAGACATGTACTCGAGTATAACGTCAATATGATTTCATTGTATTTCCTATTTTTAAATTATATCTGCTGCAGGTATAATAAAATAGTAGGTACATTATAATATATCAAGGTAGAGAAGTACAGTATTATTGCCTGAGCACCAAGATTACATCTCGAGGCCTTGCGCCGAGGTGCGAAAGCAATAATAGACTTCTCTACCGTGATATATATACTATTTTTTTCACTACTAGTACTTGAAGTCCTCTAAATTAACATATTATATTGATAAGAAAGTGAACGGTTGGACAGAATTATTTGTTTATTAATTTAACATGTCAATCAAGAGCGTGGAAGTAAAAGTCAAGCGGGCCGTATTTTGTTCTGTCATTGAGATATTTTCAAAGAGTAATTTCGTTCGAAATTTTTCAGTGTGATAATTTTAGATATGTAATTTCTCTGGAAATGGCGGATGGTGGCAATTATTCATTTTAGAGAACTTGTCTAAATGTTTATTGAGCGAAATTTCGGGTTGTGTGTTCTAAAATTGACAGCGTGACCGTTCTCTTTATTGACTACTAGTTAATAATGTACTAGTTACTAATGTCCACATTATTAACTACTTTGAACAACTGCCGAGAAAGCCTACTTTACAAGTGGAAAAAAGGTTAATAATCACGTCATCAGACGCTAGTAGTGAAAAAACCCTTTTAAAAAATTGCGCGTTACTGCGATCTCACTTTTGGAAACTTTCGACTCCGATATCTTTACACGTGGTGGTGCTGTGTCGTTGTCGCATATTGCGACCGCGTTTCGGTCCCAGACTCCCCAGGGTCGACTGAACTGATTTATTTTTCACCGTATTACCATGGGCTACGTGCTCGTTTTTCTGACGTGTCACATTGGCTGTAATTTTAGGAATAGTACCGCAGACATTTTTATTTGCAATTATAAGTTTATCTAAATGACTTTAATTTTAGCGATTAGCTTGTTACTCACACAAACCCCCTAACTCAATAATAATCGTGTAAGTCCAGGTGCTGAATTTCACATAACTTCCAAAAAGGTGGAATGATATGTCGAGCAAGAATTCGCATTGATAATGAATGTTTAGTAGCGTATGACTAAAGGATGTTTCTCACTATACATAACGTTTCCATATAGTAGGAGAGCTAGCACGAAAACCACTGAACGAGAATGATCAAAATTTTAACCGATGGAGTTACATTTTGCCCTATCAGAGTATGCTAAAATCGATCGTCTGCCGCCTCAGGTCATTATGACTTAGGCGCTGCGGGTACTTCTTGCGGTACCAATTCTGAAAGGTTGTTTTTCGAGAAAATAAGTTATACACTAAATGAAAACGTTGATAATAGCTCTTGAAAAAATATTTTAAAAAATCGCGCGCATTTGATAACTCCGTAAAAAAACAATTCTTAGTCGGTTTTTCACGAACTTTCTACGGATATAACTAGGTTACGGTTGGCGAATAGCTGATTTTTTTACAGATGGAAAGGATATGGTATGGAAACGTTATGTTAAGTGAGAATCAACCTTTATACTTCTAATCAAATTCAGGGTAGATTATGGTGTCAACACACAACGGGTTCTGATTGAGATCAGCGTGCGCACACAAAATAATAACGTGTTTAATATTCATCATATATCGACAAAGGTTATAAAGAATTACGGACGAAATAATGACATTCAAAAATTAAGTTAACTTCCTCTTCCTTGAAGAGGTGACCAAATTATGAACTACTTACACCAAAAATTAAAACCCGGAAAGAAACTACATGTAACACCTCCACTAATGTAACTAACCTATAGCTCTTAAAATAAAAGGGTCATAAGACAATGAAATTACAGCAACGATTGACAAACTGAGTTCAACTTCACCAGAAAAAAACCTAGAAAAAATGCATAATGAATTAACCAGGTGGATGGGACAAAATAGCCGTACCACAGATTTATAGTATATTTAAATCTGTGGCCGTACTCATGTAATTAGCGAAAACCAAAATATAGCCTCCACCTAACTCTGAGAAAATATGCACAACTCGTTTAATTAAATCGAGAGTCACAAAATATAGATTCAATCCCAGAATAATTATAATTGGAGATTGCAATTAGAATCTCATGGTTTTCACCCTGCTTGCTTAACGTGTGGAATTGAGGCGTGCTTGTACTCGAATGCGGTAAAGGAAATTGAAAAACAAAAAAGAATTAGCCTGGGCTTGCGCGGAAAAATCCACCGATAGGTGGCGCCATAATTTAAATGCGCCAGTGAATCTCAAACAACTAACTAGTGACCGTAAACCAAACATAACTAATACGTACTTAACAAAATAAACTGTTACAAATCTTATAAATATGCTTAATGCATTTTCATCCTTGATTAGCAATAAATGAAACAAAGCTTACTCGGTTTTAGTTATTTATTATGTGCTCATGTTAAAAAAAGAATTGTGTATGTGCAACCCAACTTTCTTATAATATATGGACGGATTTTTCTAAAATTTTAAGTGATGGTACTTCCTAAGAGAGCAGCTTGAAATCACGTCTAAATAAATGCAATGCGCATGCACACCTATGACTCTTACTTATGTACCATTTTGTTCTGAAACTTTAACTGAATTGAAAACACACGCAAACTGTGATATCGGAATTACAACACTCGAGAGCAGCTATAAGTGCATATCAACCAACATACTAACTTGTTTTGTTTTAATCCTTTCGTTACGCAAAGTAACGTCAGACATGATTTCTGTTAATACCACCGGCACACCTGCGCATGTGCGTTCTGCGCAAAAGCGTTTCAGTTCTTCCTTTTATATCTAAGAACAAGTGTACCAAATTTGGATCCAATCGGTTTAACCGTTTAGCCGGAAATTAGAGTTTGACACACTTACGCATGCGCGATTCTACCCAAAAGCTTTCAACTCTGTCTTTCATGTACCTAAGAATATGTTTACGAATAAAAAGAAAAAAAATTTTTTTTAACGTTTTTAGTGTATTTTCCTCAAAGTGAAAAATCGCTATTGGCTGCACTTAATCGCCCCCCGTCCGTCCGTCACACGTACTCCTTCTACACCACTGAACAGATTTGGGCGATATAGGGCTCATTTGAAAGGACTTGGTCCAAGGAATCCGTGCATACCGATATATTTTGGTTTTGCCCTGGTTTTTGCACATGAGCAGTGTCAAAAAATTGGATTAACGCATGTGCAATGCTAACTTTTTTATTTATGAAGTTATTTCAATGAAACGTTGTATGTGAACACTACGAATTTAAGTAAAATTAACGACTTTTTCAAAATGTTGTTTTACGCATGCCAACTTTCTTATTTATGAAAGCATTTAAATGAAATTTTGTACATAGGCACTTGGAATAAAGACAAATCTAAC